TACACACACACACACACACACACACACACACACACACACACACACACACACACACACACAACGCATTTGTTGTTGTTGTTTACAAATCAGGGCAGCGGGAACAGTTTCCACAACGACAGAAAAAAATGAGAAAGTTATCAAGGATTTAAACCTTGACCTTTCACATGTCTGCCAAATTTAGAGCCGACGTGTTTTGTCACACTGACCGGCCACAGCTGTTTCTCGTTCGTTGATTAAAAAAAAGCCAGAAGAAAGAAAAAGAAAACCAACAATAATTAATGTGTCTGTACATCTGTTTGTTTTGCTTTGAAGATGTTAGGCCTAATGGCTAAATAAGTTCAACGGAGGAGAATGTCCTGGGGTTGGACGTACAGAAGTCGTAAGCTCTGCATGCTTTGATTGGCATCTCGACAGTGTGCGAAATAATTGCGGAGTATAAAAACGTCTTACTTCCGTGAACCGGGAAAACATGATAATACATTGTACATGTAATTATAGTACATGCATGTCTTTGGGCATCGTTCTGATTTTGCATCAATTTTATAGTCAGACCATTCCAAAGAAAAGTTCAATTTTATCTATAAAAAGACATTTTATGGATAATGTTTCTTCTTTTTCTTCTCTCTGCATGTCTATTGCTCCTCTCTCTCTCTCTCTCTCTCTCTCTCTCTCTCTCTCTCTCTCTCTCTCTCGTGCATGCGGGGCACCTTACTCTCCTTGTCCGTCATTTGTGTCCAAATTGAGCCAGTTAGTGCAGTCCACATTGAACCAGAAATACACCACAGAGCACGATCTAGAATCTTATACAGCACAATAAGTCTGTGGTTGACACGTGACTAAAGGTTGTACATGTATTAGGAGGCTTATACTATATCAGGCGCAGAAATGATATAATATGGTACATATAATATAAATACATTTTACGTCGTATTCAAGTTGGGTCGGCTGTGCTGATTGTTGTTCTGGACACGCTGACGTCATGAGCCACATGGTCTGCTTTTCTCCGAATTAGACGGACAGACCTTGTTCCGATGACTTTTCAGTCCAACCTGTCTAAGATGGTCGTCCATTTGAGAGAAGAAAAGTGGTCTTCCTAGACAGGTGACCATCTTACACAGTGGCATTATAACGTAAAAACAAATTGCAAGGGCGAAAATGTAAAGTGACCGTATGTAAATGTGATCGTCTTACACAGGTACGTGGTCGTTAGAGCAAGTGGGATTGTATTTTGGGTAATTCAATAACGAATAGTCTTGTACGGTAGGCTATATACCTGTACACAATGTAATACATTTATAAACTTTTGATTACATTCAGTGTATACTATTTAAGACAATCGCCGACCAGGCAGTGAATCAGGTTATGCTTTACGTCTCTGAGCGATAGCAGTTCAAGACATACTGTAATACATGTTACTCCTACTCATAGATTTCGTGAGTTTCTTTTGATTTCTT